TTTCCCGGACTTGCATGATGTTTGCCAACTCTGGGAACCACTCCTATTTTTATTTATTTGGCATTTTCTTCAATCAAGTCATTTTTAAATCTACACTTCATTTCCCTGAAACTGTCCATTTCTATGTAGGCTAGTTACTTTTTTAAAGTAAGCAATAAAATACATAACTGAAAATATTCATCCGTATGCAACTGAAAATAATCTTACCTCTTTCGGTGGCTCTTTACCATGGCTTGAGAAAATTCTGCTGGCTTGTCCTCCTTTCTCCCCCTTAGGTTCCTTTGTTCTAACAAAGGTTCCTATACAGGAGAAAAGAAATGAGACTGTTAGTTATTAGGGAGAGAAGTGCTCTTATTGTGAAAGCTCACCCCACCCCCCCTTCCCCCAGGCCTGTTTGCACTGGATGCTAGCATTTTCTTAATTCCCAAGGTTGACTATACCTTGACCCAGCCAGGTTGCTGAGCATTATTTAAGAGCACTATAGAGAGGAGAGGATTGGAAGCTGAGTGGCACCCTGTATGTTACAGCCAGAGTGACAGAACTCAAGGGCACCCAGTGGGACAAGACTGGTTCCAACGAAGCCTCATGGGGCCTCTTGGAGACTTGGCAAGATCTGAAGGCTCTCTGGCTGAAAGGTCTTTAGAGAAATAGCTTTCTTCACTTGGGGCAATTAGGGCCCGCAGATCTCGGGCTGAAAGGTCTTTAGAGAAATAGCTCACCCCCCTTTCTTCACTTGGGGCAATTAGGGCCCGCAGGGACAAAGTGGCGTAGCTAGAACCACCTTAGGTGGTGACAAGCCTGAGATGTGACCTGCCTCCCGTGTGTCTCCTGTGTTTATCTCCCTGTCTCAGAGGCCTGGGAAAGAAAGTCTTGTGCTCAGAGTCACAGGACCCCCAGGTGAGAAATGGCTTCTTAGTTTCAGGAAAAGAGGAACAGGGCCCAAAAGGCAGCTCAGCCGAGATTGGAGATCCTTGGTGTGATACCTAAGAAGTGACAGAACTGTGTCAAGTTACCATGGACGAGACGGGTCGCGTCACTGCTGGAGACACATCTAGTCATGCTGTGAGCGTAAAGTACCCATGACGTGAACCTCAGGTGCCCTGGTGCCCTTCAGCCTGCTCAGAGACCTGTGCTCTAGAAACCGAACTGAGACTCATCAGGTGCACCTTTTAGAGTGTCCCAGTAGCCCCGAAAGGTTCCTGTGACCCCGTAGCCAGGGGAGGCCAGGCTAAATGCTGAGTGGATATTCTACAGCTCTATGTGTTGACCTGGGTTTTTTTTTTTTTTTCCCCCTGAATGGATACTGAAATTCTTAAATAAGACCTTAATGACTCATCCCAAATTCTGTGCCTCTGTTACCTTGAGTGACTTGCACATATCAAAACTATCAATCAACAATTCAGAAAAACAATTCCTATGTATCTCTGTGCTCTGACAGGCTTTGAAACACACAAATGATCAGGAGGGCAGTTTCTGCCTGGGAGGAAGTCACAGACCCGTAAAATAACCAGCCCCCCCATAGCAGTAGCTGTGATGACTCAAGTCCAGGAAGGTTCCCATACTCCAGGGGACACAAGCGCCACCTCCGGCTCACCTGGCAGCTTGCATAGCCCCTTGTGCAGTGCATCTGGAGGTCTACCTAGTGGCTCCCCGGCCAGCCACAGTATTTCCATCAACTCGGTGTTCCCAGTACCTGGTAACAAGTAAAGATCCCCTTCTGAGAGAGGAACAGACAGAGTCCTAGGGAAGCCCAGTGTAGGGGAGAAGGCCACGAGATGCCAACCAGGCAGCTCAAGGGTGTCAGATGGTTTGGTAGAAGAAGTTTTGAGGTGTGATCAAGTAAAAAATTCCTGGGCATCATCCTAGAACGGACCGTGTCTGGCCACTGTGCCTTCATCCGTGCAGGCCCTGCCCCTCTCCTGCTGCTGCCCCCTTCCTGGGCCAGTCGTTAGCTGGTTAGATGCTAGTTCGCTTCTAGTTGTGATTGTTAAAGATCCGTAGGAATGGAAGATGAGGCTGTTTCTTATCAAAACCGTCCCAAGCAAACTTCACGGGAGTTCCAAGTAGGGAGGTCACATAGGTCCATGAATTTATGAAGAATATACCTAAAACTTTAGAATAGAGGGGCACACCTCTGAAAGCAAGGACAAGGTTGTAGCTTGCTCCCAAACCCCCCTTCCTTTCCTCTAGCCTTTGTTTTCTAACCAAGTATATAACTTGCTTGTTTCTGCTCCTCCATGCTAGGATGGAGAGTCCGTGAAGACAGAGATCTTTGTCTAGAAAGCATCTGGCACATACTAGGTGGTCCATGACGAGTAAATAGTGATATGAATGAATGCATGGAATGAATGAATGTTTTTCTCTGGCCAGATCTGAGCCCAGGTAAATAAAGGCAATGAAGGCAGTGGCCCTAAGGGAGGTGGTGCTCAGGACTGGAGAGTCACTGTCACTTCAGCCAGAGAGCCATCCGCTGTGACACCTGCTACGTCCTGTGGAATGGGAGAGCTGGCTCCCATGCCATCACGGGGTGTCGTGAACACACGTGCTGGGAGAAAAAGCGGTGTCTGGGAGGCACTCTAGTCCTGAAAGCGGCAGTTCACGTGTATCCTTCCTGAAGGGAGCTGGCTGTGATGCAGTCCTTAGAGCACTGAGACAGGAGACCTGAGTTCAAATCCCAGATCTGTTCTTTTTCTTCCTTTTCTTCCTGCTATAGGACATGTGTGCTCACTGGGGGCGGGAGGAGAGAAAGTGAGAAAGCATTCCCTCGGGGGAAGATGGCCACACTGCAATCCTTCCTCCTTCATTCTCTTCCTAGGTTATTAGGTATGCACTCACACATTCCCAGAGTGCTGTTCAAGCCGCCAGGTCTGGGATGTGAACCCTGGAGTCAGTCATGTGGGATCCAACACCTTAACCTCCACGTCCCTGGCGGTCCCAGATCTGTCCTTTTTTTTTTTGAGAGGTTTTTGCTACAAGGGTGTGTGCGCTCGCCAGAGAGACACAGAGAGACAGAAAGTGAGAAATCACCCTCAGGGGGGATGGCCACGCTGCAACCCCTTCTCCTCCATTCTCCCCTTGGGATCTTGGGCATGCACGCACACGCGCCCGGTGTGAGTTTAAGCTACCAGGTCCAGGACTTGAACCGCAGTTGACTTCATGGGAGTTCAGCAACATAGCCATTACGCTAACTGCTGGTCCCACAGATCTGTCCATTTTAAACATGATTTAGGGCCACTCAGCTCAACCTGAGTCTCAGTTTCCTCATTAAACATGGGCAGTAGCCTTTCATTCACAACACGCCAAGCCCTGGGTCTCCCGGTGCCCAGGGGGCCCCCAATGGGCAGCATCAAGCTTGTGCAGCTCCTCAGACGGGCCAACAGTGTGGGTGGGTTCCGTCAGCCTCTTTCTAAGCCAGGCTCTGGCTCTCCCCAGGAAAAGATCCAACAACGCCCCGTGAGTTTTGTTAGGGAGGATTGTACAGCACCCTCCCTTCCAAACCCAAATCCCCAGTAAGTCAAGAAGATGTATGTGTTTTAAAACATTGGGAGGTCTGCTTTGGATCACCCTGGAGCTGTGGCTTCCCGAGCAGCGAGGCTGAAGGAAGCAGTTGCTGTGCTGGGCAGCTCTCGCTGCACCGTGCTCGCGCCCCACACAGGGGCTGCCTTCACTGAGCTTCGGCGGCCGTTGACGTTCAAATCATAAAAAGCCGCTCTATACACAGTTTACTCTGTTGCTAGAAGGCAGCGGAACATAGGTATTAAAAAAGAGGGGGAGGGAGAGAAAGTGCAGAAGAAGCAGCCGTTAATCCCGCCAGGCTTCTGGGCACTGGAGTAGTTGTGGATGACAAAAGTTAATTAGAAACATGAGCAGTTTAACTGAAAACACTTGTGACAATTGGAAGGGCAGCCTCTCCGGTTGGAGAAATTTTCCTAGGAAATCATTACGGGAGAGAGTGGCCGCTGCTAGGTAAGTCATGTCATTGTGACTTCACAGGGCTGCAGGGGCATGTCCTATCTGCCACGCACGCTGCGTGTGGGTGGGCACGGGTGGGCACAGCACGGGGTCAGCTGCGGTGTGCCCGATGGCCACTTTGCTTTCACCGCTGCCCTTACTTGGGAAACAGGGCTTGTCACCCCCAGTGCAGTGTGAAGAACGGGTCTGGCGTCTTGATTTCTGTGATGCTGGGCCACCATGGGGCTAGCAGAATTTCAGTTTGGAGCCCACCCTTCTCAAAATAAATCTGGCTCCAACTTGGAGATATTTTGAGGCTTTTCTGGGAAAATCATCTGACCCGGGAACCACTCCGTGTGTTTTCTTGCCCTCTATAAAGCCATGTGTACAGATGATATTCTTCAGCAAAAAAAAGTCTTTTTTTTTCTCTTTGCAAGTCAGACCTGAACATTTTTGTAGCACTTTAAAAGCACCATCGGAAAAACGTGTATGCTTTGATAGGATTTAACAACTTTTGTAGGTAGTCATTCTCTTCTAAAAATTCTACTTGGTGCTTTTTCCTTTTCTGTTGTGTTTTTTTGGTCTGTTTTATTTTAACCTCTCTGCTACATTGTTTCCTCAAAGATAATTCTCGATTCATTCGCATCACTAGGAAGTGGGGCTGTGGACTGAATAATTGAAAACAATAGGTATTTCTCCCGTCTTTCTTACACTCAGGAGTGTGGTGGTGTGTGGGTTGTTTTCGCATAGGTTTACTTTCTTAATTACGTTCTGCACATGTGACTGCTAAGACAGGCATGCAATTTGCACAGCACACCCCACCAAACGAGATGGGGTTGGGGGGCAGGGAGTGGGACGTGACCTCTGC